GAGAAAGGAGGTTGGAAAATCAGAGAAATTGCTGACTCGGGTATTTTAGTGTTTGAAATTTCATATTTGATAGTGATATTTGTGTTTGGTCAATCTGGCGCTGGTAACAACTGGGCTAAAGGCCATTACACTGAGGGAGCTGAGCTCATTGATGCTGTTCTTGATGTTGTGAGAAAGGAGGCAGAGAACTGTGATTTGTCCCAGGCGCTGGTGCTGGGTTCCTTTGAACCCAGTAGGGAGGTGAAGGAGAAAAGGAAAGAGAAGGAGAAATTTTTTTTTTTATTTATTAAATTATATTCTTGGTGCCAAGTCACAATATTTTGAAGTTCGAGGTAAATTTAGTTGAAAAATGAAAGGTAAAGGACTGAATCGAGGATTTAACTTTTTTTTTTAAACCTTTAGTCAGCAGTGGGGCCCACAAAAAAATTGGCAGCAAGTAGACTTCCCTCTCGTGGGGTTCCAAGTTGGCATGCCAGGTTGTCAAAAAATTCTGAGTTGGCACTGACATACGCATACTTGACGGAGACCAACGGTGCACGTGCTACACGTGACGTTCCGACGTTAAATTTTGCTTCATTTCCTCAACTCGAAAACGTTGAGGGTAAAAATCCATATATTGTAATATGAAGGTAAAAACCTTAAAAATCAAAAAGTTAAGGGGCAAACGGGTACCTTTTGCCAGAAGGACACATTAGAATACACAAAACCTTAACCCTAGATTCCTTTATACATAGCAGGTTTTGCACAGTGGATTTTGGCGGGGGTCAGCCCACTCTTAGTTGCCTTAGTCAGCCCACATTTCGATTGGGCTTGGCTTCTTATTTTTACTTTTTAATGTGGACTTTAAGGGACCTATTTTCCTCATATTGTCGTACACAACACTTGTTCACCAATATTTTATTTAAAGAAAAAGTATTTTGTAGGATATCTTAGAAGATATTTTTAAAAACACTACATTTTAATTATCATTTTTAAAAATTAACAATTAAATTAAAAAATTTATTTATATAAATTATGTATGTTAATTTTTATATTAATTTAATAAGCTTAATTAGGCGGTTAATTACACATAATTTGATATAGTCAAATAAATATCAATAAATACAATTCCTTTTATTAAAAAGTTATAAATATTATATCAATTTAAAAATTAACATATATAATATTTAAACACATATAATCTATATAAGTAAAATATATAATTCAAAAGTTGATTTTTGAAAATATTAGTTATAAGAAAAGTTTTAGACAAATCCTCTAAAAAGAATTTGGAAAGATGACCTATACTCCACTAACCTATTATTTAAAAATATAAATTTAACATAAAAAGGTTTCAAAATCCAAAATAGAAACATAAGATAAGTGAACCAAGCATGAAAACAAGGAAGACACTCAATCTCAAACTAAATCCACAACAAGATATGTAGTGAACCTAAAGGAAAGAAAGTGTTAAATCAAATCCACAATAAATATAAATGTCAAATAGATGAAGCCCCATTCTACCACTACTAATTCATTTATTTTGGCCTAAATGTAAAGGATTATCATCAAAATAAGCATATTTAAAATACCATGATGAATAACTCTACACAATTTTAACTAATCAAACATTTAAACTATCAACCAATGATTTAAATAGTTCAATAATAACTCTCTTATGTTATAAGTAAAAGGTTTTGATTTCAAATTGTATGGCATGCGATTAGGGTGAGTTAAGGGATAGAAGACAGATACCCTCCCATTATGTAATCTAAGATAAAAAAAAATAAAATAAAAATCATTCAAACTATTATAGAAAGGAATAAAATCAAGGCACGACAGATTTATGCATTCATAGATAATTTCTCCATTAATTAATTCTGTGCATATTAGATTCAAACATATATTTTACTAAAAGAGTCTTACATTTTACAATTTAAATTATTTTAGAATATAAAACAAAGACCCTGAATAGAGGGAGGACCTCTAATGTCAAGTAGTCCATCCCTTATTTAAAAATCAATTGTTTATAGTTCAAAACAATTTGGACTATAAAACAATTTTTCATTACTAAATACTAATTTATTTTCTTGGTAGTTGATCAGTTAACTCAACAAAGGTTGAATTGCTAAATTTAGTTTTGCAACATATGAGACTAATTGAACCATATATTGAAGGTTACATGTAACATATTAATTAATTGATTACTTAATTAATTTAGGAAATGTAGACTTGCTTATAGATCTGTCAATTTTTGGCAAAAACCTACTTTTAGCCCCTCACTTTATTAAGTTTAAAGGTTTTAACCCCTTATCTTATATTATGACACTTTTAACCCATCACCTTATTAGATTTGTAGATTTTAGCCCCCCACCTATTAAAATCGAAGAAATAGCCCTCACTTTATACTAACTGTTAACTCTGTTAGCTGAAAGTAGATTTTTATCAACTAACAATCAACTAATAGCCAATTAACAGAATTAAGGAAATATTATAAAATTAGTTCTATTAACTCTGTTAGTTGGAAGAAGATTTTCGACAGCTAACAGTCAACTAACAATCAATTAATAGAGTTAACAATCAACTAACAAAACTAATAAAATGTTACAAAGTGAGGGCTATTTTTTTCAATTTTAATAGTTGAAGGGTTAAAAGTGTTATAGTATAAAGTGATGGGTTAAAACCTACAAATCTAATAAGGTGAGGGGTTAAAAATGTTAAAGGATAATATAAAATGTTAAAGGATAATATAAAATGTTAAAATCTTCAAACTTGACAAGATAAAGAGCTAAAAGTAAGTTTTTACTTCAATTTTTGGGCCGGCTTGTTAGTCCAGCAATGATCTATTCATTTAAGATAGGTAATGATATGACATTCTTGACCCTTGACCTTTTAATAACCTATTAAAAGAATTTGTTGAGTCAAGAGTCAATAATGAGTTAACTCTACAAATTAATGAGTTGACCATTTGTTTGTTTGTTTTTTTTTTAAAATTTGTTTTGTTCTATTAAAATAATAAATAATCCAAAACAATTTCTACCCTAACTCCTATTTTTTTTCCCCCAAAATATCATTCTTCATTTCTTTGCCACAACCTATGGTCAGCATCTTTTCTTTTTTTTTTTTTTTTTTTTTTGACAAGGAAATGGTTAAAAGTTAGAAATTAGAAGTTAGAAGTTAGGTTAGTACCTTACTCTTGATAAGGTTCAATCATTGGTCAGGGGTGCAATCCACAGGCAGCCCTGTTGGGCTATAGTGGCCACCAATGGGCCACAACAGGGGAATGCTACAGTCAGCATCTTTTTCCTTCCTTTCATATCTCCCTTCCACGCGAGCCTTCCACGCAATTGAGGATTACAGTCCACATTCGTGTAAATTTCACTTAATCTTCATAACTTCATCCAAAGTTATTGCTTTCTCATGGCAATTATTACTAGATAGATTACCTATGAAGGTTTAACTTGTCAAAGTGTGGAATTCTAGATACAAATCAAGATCTCAGGTACGACTGGTGTGGTTCTTTTCCTGAGCAGACGAATCATCTTTTCATCTCATGTGATCAAACCAACAAGTTATGGTTGAGGTATTTCAACTGGTGGGGAACACAGTGTGCACTGGGAAACTCTTGTGTGGATGTTTTCCATTGGTGGACTAACAAGTCAGGCCAAAAATTCACATGTCTATGTAACTTATCTATGCAAATCGGGCGAAAAATAGGACTATACCTACACAATTTAAATTGTTAATTTTTGGCATACATTGCACCTAGGAACATGCATTTTAAACATAACTTATTGGAAGTTACAAACTACCAACCACCTCAATTTAACATTGAACACTGAAGGCAATAGAGTTATTTTCTCTTTGGTGGACTGATGCAATAATCCTATTGAATGCCTATCTGCATCTGAAGATGATAAAATATTTAAATATTTATCTAATTTATATCTTAAAAGGTATATTAATTATATTTTTTTATAATTTATATTAAAAATAAACACCATCGTAATATTACAATAGTATTTAAAAATTAAACTAAGTTTATTTACAATGTTATTTGTTTAAGTTGTTTTAAAAACTTTTTTTAACTCATTTTAATTTTCTTTTTCAACCAACGGTTTAAATAATTCAATAGTCATCTTTTTTCGCTAAATGTAAAATATCATAAGTTCAAATCGCATAACATACAAATAAGATGAAATAAGAAATGAGAAATAATTACCTCCCATTGTGTACAAAAAAAAAAAAAAGGAAATTTCCCTTTTGTAAGGGCAGTTATACGCGAGACGCAGGGCAGAGCTTAGAGCCTACCAGACCTCGGTTGCAGAGCTAAGAGCCTACCGCACCTGGTTGGTGATGTTTACGCTATATGAAACTGAGTATGCACTAGGAGAAGTACATGAGGGAGTGTGTGGGAGTCACGTAGGAGCTCAGACTCTGGCCCATAAGGTACTTCGGCAAGGATACTATTGGCCCAACATACAAGAGGATGCAAAAAAGTTTGTGCAGAGGTGTCAGAAATGTCAGTTCTTCGCCCACCTCACTCATCAGCCAGATGAAGAACTCACCAGCATGATTGCAACCTGGCCTTTTGCTCAATGGGGAATAAACCTCCTGGGCCCCTTTGTCAAAGCAGTAGGGGGAGCAGCGCACTTAGTGGTTGTTGTCGATTACTTCATTAAGTGGGTAGAAGCCCGACCTCTCTCTTGTTTGACTTCAAGAAGAATTGAGGACTTTCTCTTTAGCTCAGTCATCTGTAGATACGAGATACCGAACCAGGTTATTGCTGATAATGATCCCCAGTTCAATTGTAACTCCTTCAAGGATTTCTACTCCAGCTATGGGATTAAAGTGGTATTCACTTCTGTTTATCATCCCGAGGCCAATGGAATGGTTGAATCTGTTAACAAAGCCATCTTGGAGGGAATCAAGCCGAGGTTAGATCAGTTGAAAACAAAATGAGTAGATGAACTCAACAACGTCCTATAGGCCTACCGGACAATGAGCCGAACTATCACAGGTATGTCCCTCACTTTAATTCCTTTTTTCATTACTTTATTCACCATCATAAATTGCCCTTTAAAGCAAATCCTAAAATCATAGTCTTCTACAAATAGGCGAAACGCCCTATCACTTGGCCTTCGGCACTGAGGTAGTTATCTCTATCGAAATTGGTGTCCCGAGCCTAAGGGTCAATCGTTTTGAACCAGCTCAAAACGAGCGTTTACTAAGAGAAAACCTTGATTTCCTAGACGAAGTCTGAGAACAATCCCGACTTCGGACGCTTACGTACAAACAAAGAATAACCAACCTTTATAATCAATGGGTTCAACCTCGAAACTTCAGAGTTGGTGACCAAGTCCTCAGAAAGGCCGGGCTCACAGGGTTCGAGACCCGCTACGACAAGCTAGCACCAAATTGGGAAGGCCCTTACATTGTAACCGAGATCCCACACCTCGGTGCATACATTCTCCAAGATGCCGAAGGCAAAAGAATGCCTAGGGTTTGGAATGTTAACAACCTTAAGAAATTCCACCCTTGAAAGTTCCTCACTTTACCCTCTGTATTAGGCATCTTTTTGTAACAACTAATGTTTTAATACAATTAAAGATGAAGTCAATTTCATTTCTTCAGCCTCGGTTACATTAGCAAGTCATTTTAACCTCTACCAGTTCAGATCATCGCAAAAAGCAATAAACACAAGTATCAAACTGAATTTATTAAATGAAACTTTAATCGGTTACAAACAATTTCTCCTAAAAAAAAAAAGAAGCAAAGTTTAAGCAGTTGGCTGGTCTGGGTTGTCAACACCTTCAATTGGGTTGTCAGCACCTTCGGTTCCCTTGTCACCCACTGCCACGAACTCAAAATTGAACTTTGGAGGTAAAATGGTTTGACTTCTGCTGTCCCTATCCCACTTCAGCGTAACTTCCGAGCAGAAATCAGCAGTACTACTCTCCCCATTTTCCTCCACCTCTCCTTCCTGATCTCCGAAAGTGATCTTCATCACATCTACATCAGGATATTGCAACTTTACTTTCTTTTGGCAGTCAGAGAAGGGCACAGTTGTAGTAGGGAGCTGGTAGAGGTTGACGATATCCTCGAAGGTGCTAGACTTCAAAAACCCCTTCACATGCTCTTCAACAGAGTTGTGAACCTTAAGCTCCAACTCAGCTACTGCCTTCACCGCCTCCTCTAACTCTTTTTCCATCTTCTCGAGCTCATCCTCGCAGATCCTCTTTTTTTGCTACGAGAGCTCCGAGTCCTTCTTTAGAGTGGCATTCTCCTTTTAAAGTTCCTCCATCTCCACCATCAGCTTTGCCACCTCGGCCTCAGCCTCCTCGTTCTTCTTGACGAGCTCGGCATTATCCTTCCTCATCTGATTTCTCTCCTTTAAACTCTCGTGATGCTCATTGGCCAAAGCATTCACGAGGTTCATAGCCTATACAATAGAATAACCCCAGCTCGTCAAATAGTTAACAAGATCCCCCTCCTTAAGCTTTAAACAAGATGAAAGTATCATACCTCAAGCGCCTGACGTACAACGCCAACTGAACCTCTCGCCGCCACCTCATCCTTCGCACGTTGGCGATCCACCTCCGGGAAATAGGCATTGATGAACCTTTTTGCTGTACTCCTTATCCCGAAGTCATAGAAGCTCGTTGTTTGCACTCGGATATACCTTTGCTCCTGGAGTGTGGCCACGAACTCAACAGCTGTGGCTGAAGAAGTCCCCTCTATACGGAGGGATGAAGTCACAAGTTCTGGTATCTCCTCCACAGCCTCTTGTTGCTCCATCCTTTTCCTTTTTGCAACAATCGGCCCCTCCTCAGCAATTGCCACTTCATCCCCAATATTGTTGGGCTGAGAAATGACTAAGTTTTGCACTTCAGCCTAAGGCAGCAAAACCTCCTCAACCCGCCTTTTGTCCTCGGCCCTCTTCCCTCTCCCCTTCTTAGGGATGTTAACACCACCAGCAGCCTCCAAAAAATCTTGTTCATCTCTTCTGCAAAACAAAACAAGGTTAAAACTCTTATCAGGACTCTCCAACTAAATAAACAATTAAGGTTACACACCTCCACTCTGTGAGGTCGGCCCATATATCTCA